AGTTAAATTTTAATTACTACTATATATATATATATATATATATATATTGTTGCTAAAACTTCAGTGATAAAAATTAGATAGATTTTTTTAAAAAAGATAACTTTTTCAAAATATGGGTTACACAGATTGTGTATTCATACTTGGGTATAAAACATAATAAAGTGCAAATTTGCGGAATAAGTAAATTTGTTTTAAAATACCAAACGTGCTTTTTACGAGCGATACGAAGGACACAACATATCGTAATTATTTTTAAGACTCCTGCTGGTTCACTGCAACCATCTTGGATTATGACGTTAGAAGCGAGAAAATACGACGAAAATTCGTGTAAAATAAATTAAAGTAGAAACGTTTTTCGATAAAATAACATTTTTACTTAATAGAACACACTGATAAAATATAAAACTCTTCTTTTAGTCATAAAAATATAAAACTCCTCTTTTAGTCATAAAAATTAAATTAAATTGTGACTCTGCCCTTAATTAGACATATTTTTCACTTTTAAATATGTAATTATTTATTGATTATCAGAAAAAGAGTTTTCGGTATATTTTTTACAAGTCTGTTTTATTGAGTGCAAATGTGATTTTATTAAAAAACATTTCTATTTTAATATATTTTGCAAGAATTTTCATCATGTGTTTTCTCGCTTCTGACATAATTCAAGATGGCTGTAGTAAACCAGCAGGAGTCTTAGATAAGACAACGATTTCTCCATGAAATGTGCTTTCAACTTCAGGGGAAACTCAGTATGGCGATCCGCAGGTGCAGTTCCCTCGTCCCATTCCGGATGAAGTTATCAGGTGAGCTTGCAATATTCGCGTAAGTCAATCAATATAAACACAAATGTGAATTATTTCTTTTTAGTATCGGTATATATATAAAAAAAATATAATTACTGAATTGTATATTTATGTATAAAATATTTTTTTTCTATGACATTTAATTGCTTCACAACATTCAGTTTTGTAGGTAATTTTTTTATACATGTAAATAAAATTGCGGTATGTGATTATATGTAAAATGTATGAATATATATGTACATTTGTCGTAATTCCGTTATTAATTCCATTAATTTCTGAAATCAATGTGGTGACTTAGCGTTTACGAGGTTTACGTGAAGGAAGATCCGGCCTCGGAATCGAGAAGTGGCGACGTACCGAGTGTTTCAGGATTAGGACCCAACACCAATCATCATTTGAGCCAAGTAACCAATCCCTACAATTGTTTTATCGATGAGACTTATTTGCGATCGAATGAAATTACTTTTAAGGAAGAATGCGTGGACCTGGATACAAGCATAGGTTCCGAAGTGATCAATATCGACGGCACTGTCACGAAACTCGTCGACAAGGACTCGTTAAGGTACAAAGTAAGTGCCAAAGTAAGGTATCTTAAATATTTGTCGAACTATTAGCGCGGCAAGTTGTTTGCCGAGAGCGAGTGAATATCGTTACAGCGGCAGTTTACATGAAATATTTCACCTGACGGGCGCCGCTCCGTTTATCTAGTTTGCCCCTTTCTTCTTACTTCGAGGAACGTCATTTGCATACGCCCATTTCTATAGTTTTATGCTCCAAGTATTTGCCTATCTACATCGCGATGCATAATTACGGAAATATTGTTGGAAACTGTATTTTTGCTCAGCATAATGCAATCCTTAAAATTGTACCAAACTTTCGCGGATATTTTAATTTTACAGCGTTTCTTAATTGCGGTATGTCTTCTGAATTCCTCTGTTTTTTTTTTTTATCTTTTTTATCTTATTTTCGTTGGTATTTTAAATTGTTCTTTTCAGATTTTCGAGCAAAGTGTCAGCGTACCGGATAAGAATGTAGTTGTATATTCGCATCCTGTTGCCGAAGGACCTTCGTCCTCCACAACTCGGCTTATTGATAAGGATGATCCGCGATCCAGGTTGCACTTTGTAAAATATTTGAAACGCGATGGAAAGACGCTCAAAATCTGGGAATGTGGTATTTGTATGTAACGCTTTTTGCTGTAGTAACATCTGTATTTATTTTAATTTTTAGAGAAGTTTTTGTAGAATTATTAAACGTTATTTTATATGAATGATAATTGTCGCGTTCTCATATTGGTACCAACTAATATTTGTAGCAAAAAACAAGATTTAGAAAAGTGGAATAAAAATAAAAGCAAAACTTTTTTTTTTTCTCATAGAAAATGCGATTTAGATTTCTCATTCGATTTCGCAGCGCAGCGAGTAATTACTTTTTAATGTCAACTCGAAAGGCCCGAGCTTGTTTTCGTTATAAGAAACTTTCACGTTTAATATTCGAATCAGGTTCAAAAGAGTTCCGCCATCAGTACACTCTGATGAGACATTTGCCGACCCATACCGACGAGAGAAACTTTAAATGCGAGGCTTGCGGCAAGGCTTTCCGACAGTTGTCAACATTGAGTCAGCATAAAGCTATACATAGCGATGCCAGGCCCTATGTATGCGAATTTTGCAAGAAAACGTTTAACAGGTCGGAAATCTTCTCTAGTAACTCTAAATTTTGAAATGTGTAAACAATAAAAACAAGTAATAAATCTTGAATATGTATTTATAAAATCGATTTTAAAATAATTCATATTTCAGAGTATCTACGTTAATCTCCCATCGAAAAACACATTCGGAAAACAAACCGCACAAGTGCCACGTGTGCGGTAAAGGATTTCATCAAAAGGGTATAACACGCACGAAATATAAATTACACGCTGATCTATTATCTCGCATCGGCAAATTCCTTCCGAGAAAATTTCCGATTATCATAAAACCTTCTTTCTCTCTTTTCCCCCCCCTTAGATTTATTTTATATTAATATCTGGTGAATTTACTACGTACTTTCGTGTATAAATGTGCGAACCGCATTGTCCAAAAATTTGGCAATTAATGTTCCTTGCAGGCAATCTGCGAAACCACGTGTTTACGCACACGAACGAGCGACCGTACAAATGCGAGTTATGCGGCAAGGGTTTCAATCAGATGTCGAATTTGGTCTGTCACAAGGTAAAAGCACACGCACACGCCGATAAGATGCAATATTCGTGCGGAGTCTGTGGAAAGGAGTTTCCACGCAGGTTCGCTTTGCGATCGCACGAGGAGCACAAGCACGGTGTTAAATATCGAAGCACGGGCAGCACGCAATCAACCGTGAACGAGACCAATGCCGGCAAAAGGTAAGAAAATGATTGCGACATTAATTATAATTATGTGCAATGCGTATAATAAATACATAAACGTTCTAAAAAAATCGTTGGAATTTGTCTGCCATCCCTGAATATCCACAGAATGCGAATAGTAAATTCCAAACTCATTTAATTAAAAATATTGATTCCTCTGGATTATCATTGGTATTTTTATTGGATATAAAAGGGAAGATATCGCAAAAATAGATAAATTGAAGGCAGAAATTAGTTATAATTTCACAGATTGAATTCCTATAAAAGAGATCTCTCTTAATTAGTTTATTTTCCGCAGAGGCTAGGGATGTTCAAAGCGTTTATGCATTTAATTATTATTTCACACAAAATTGATTTAATTACAGATATTTCAGCGTATGATTATATAATTATGCATTTTCAGCAAAAATGTTAGGATCATTCAGTTATACAATGGCGATCGGAATCAAACAAGCGAGACCAAAGAGAAAGATTATTTTGGCTCGGTTAGTATATATTTGATTTACGAGATATACAAGGAATTATGGATTTTGTAATTAGCTTTGCGCTCCTGTTTCATGAAAGTCGGATTTGATGGACAGCATTGTGATAGACAAAATCGATACAAAAGCAATGGAAATGGCATTGCTCCAGGGACAGACTCCTTTTGCTCTTTATAAACCCGCAAAAGGTATACCGGTACTCGTTAAAATTTCGCCAACTGCGAGTAATAAGCACGTAAGTATTCTTATATGTTGTCAACATAAATCATCGCAAGTTATGTTTTTAGAGAAAAAAAAAAAAAAACAGGTAAGCTCGCAAATTACTTGGGTTATTTAAAAAATCGCGAGTAAAATAATGTAATATATATTTATATATGTTTGTCATGAATGGAATACATGAATTTATGCATAACTACGAAACGTCAGAGTTACAGTGAAGTTAATTAAAAATTTTTTGTTAATATAGCTTATATTTTCACTTCATGAAGCTTTAGTTAACATTGCAAGAAAGTTATTAAAAGACATATCCGAATTACAGCAAGCAGATTTCGCGAGAGTATTTGTTTAGTTTATTTTGTCATTGGTAATCCCGACAGGTTTCTCTTAAATTTAATCTGTTACAATGGGATCGGTACAAGTGATTGTTTAGACCTTTTAATTGAGTGTTAATATTTAGTAATACTTGGCTATTCGACATTCATATAAATGTTTTGATAATTATGTGTTATTTATCATAAAGATACTTACACCTGCGACTGCCGAGGATTTGAGAATGGCAGGAAAAATAACTCTGAATTCTATCGAGACTTCGGATACTGACAGCAATAAGGCTGTTCAGGTGAAAGTACCAGTAGTTGCTACTGTAATACAGAATATCGAATCCGATGGAAAATCTAGCTTTGTCATTGAGCCTCCTGGTGCAGAAGAGGAGCAAGGTAAGCTCTCTCGTCAATCTTGCAAGACGAGGCAAAGAAGCAGATGCGCTCCTTTCTTTAATCTATCGTCGCCAGATGATCTGGTGACAGCGTTGGACTCGCAGTTCTCTCCATCTATGCTTAATCGCAACGAGCCGGACCGGCAAAATTGCCCAAACTCAACTACGTCGATAGGCGAGTGTAACGAGTTACTGGAGCTGGCTGCGCAAGGTGGAATACAGTTCGTTCGCGCCATGGAGGATGGTCGTTACGAGGTAATGTAGAAACGATTACCACATTGTACGTATGAAACTGTGTTAGCGCTCGTAGCAGTTCGGTAACAGTCGCGTTTTGGGAACGGAATGATATCCCTTGTTGGAACTTTTAAAATAACTTTCTCTAGGATTTAATCCAATTATTTTTGCTACTATTATTTCTGTATTATTTTCGCGGTTTTACAAAATTCAAGATTAAATATCTGTGATAATCTGTGGTAATCAATGCCTCGAATCCGATCGATGCCAATTGTAATAAATTTAAGAGACAATATTATTGTGGAAATTTAATGTAAAAACATGAATCCGGAGGATACAACGTCGCTTTTCGACATCTTTATCTCCGGGTAGACGACGTACTTTTCTTCACGCAGACCCGGCATTACGGCATCGACGTCTTTTCGATCGACTTTTCGACTTACGGTACGCGCGACACATTCCGAGTATTCACGTCAGGCGCCTTCATTCCTTTACATAGAGTTCTCTATTTAGAGAACTGCTGCGTTGCCGCATTTGCGAAACGTGCTTGTGTAACGTTCTTATAGGAATATATAACGTTCGCTGGAATTTATCTTTGGCGCTTCTTCAAATTAGCTTTAGAAACCCGATTAATTTTAACATTTATATCGATAGGACTCTATATATTACAAGAATCTTAATTAAATCCTAATTTCGCAATTTTCTGAAGTAACTTTGGAAGACTAATTAATTATCATTGGCAACATTTAGATTGGTAGATGAATCCTATTTAAAATTTTATGTATTTTATTCTTCTCTGTTTTCAAATCTTCTATGTAATTATATAAATATAATAAAATGTATTTTTTAATCATATTTTCTTTTGCATATTTTCGCACACAATTCGCTTTATCGTAGTAAATTATTCCGATCATGACGAAGCTTTAAACAGTTCAATGCCCTTATACACTCGCATTATGACTACAGGTCATGACGAACAGCGAGGCCCGCGACTTAATGGTGCAGAATTCCCACGACGTAACGATTCTTGACGGCGAACAGGCGGACGCCATCAATCTCGCGAATATACGCAATAACAGTGAAGTCATCATTGGCGACAATGATAATCAGATCATGGTGCTGGAATCCGATCAGAAGCCCAGCAGTATGTCAATGGACAACATTGAAATTCTCGAAGATAAAGATATTAGAATTCTTGACACTAAAAACTTAGACGATCGTTTCGTGGATGGCATGACATTCTTCTCCCAGGCGAAAATCGACGACCTCTTGCTGGGTTCCAAATCGCTGGCTATCGATGGCGATAGCGCTCTTGCCGGGCACGACGATGGTAGGTCAATTGGCGTTTTAATATCATAATTTACAAAAGTCCCTTAAACATTCAGGATTATTGCAAGTTTTAAGTAAGTTAGAGCTGGCTTTAATTTGAATAATTTAGATAATTAGTATAATTAATTAAAAAATTAAGTTGATCTAAGGTGGCGATAATAAAAACGGACGATATATATAAATTTATGATTTCACTGAGTCTCTTGAGGTGTTGGGAATCAGTTCTAAAATAGTTGCGTCTTCATAATTATTGTCAATGGCATGATTCTAGCAATGACTGTGCCGTCGAGCCAGCAGGACCTAACGAGCATCTTGGGTCATCCCTCGAACCTATCTACTAACTCGCAGTCCTCGTTATCGTCTATGTTAATGAAGAACCATCCGCAATTGTCGCTGCTGAGTGAGACGCTACCGTATCTGAAGAGCAGTCAGAGCTTTACGGAAGATCTAAATATTCTCGGTGTCTCCCCTATGGAAGATCATCATGCGGAATACGATTCAAAGATGAAGTTACCCTCGGTGTTTGACGACGACTGCGATACGGGCTTAATACCTTTCGGTCAATCGGATATGAAGATGCTCGACTCTGGAAGTCAATGCATGAAGGTAGAAACACTTGAACATCGTTGGGAATACTTTTACGTTTACGTTTATAACGAATTTTGCAGTCTTTTAGCGACAAATTCTGTTTGCCACCTCCGAAGATGTATCCCGGTCTAAACGAGGTGAAGATTTTGGGACCGAAAAATCATAGTCATGAGTTGATAACTCCACATTATCAAGATTCTAGATTTCTCAGTCCTTACGAGCAGTTTCTCAAGAATGTTACTATGCAGAACATTTGCGTATCTAATATCGCCGACGCATCCGAGGGATGTAAAAAGGAAGTGAAGATACTTGGTAAAAAGCTCGGTACTGGCATTATCACTACGACCGAAGAAGGTGATATCGTTAAAGTTCTTGATGAAAAGCCTAAATTTGTAAGTGATATATATTTTTTCTTCTAATTAATCTTTTAAAACACAAGTATTTAAAGTTATTTAAAGTTTAAAACATAGTATATCATCATAAATGTCATATTTATCGCTAATAATTTACAAATGATGACTGAAAGCGGACTCTTGGATAAAGATTCAATTAAGATTTAACGAGTGTTCTATTTTTCCAATGAGACATTTTTTTTTTTTAATTGCAGGAAAGCACGCTGGATCTCTGCGATAATGTTTTGCAACAATGTGCGACCATGTCGCCGAGACGGTTACATCGGCAACCACCGATGGAGAATGATGCGGATAACTTTTTGCTCCAAGTAAACACTTTTCACAATAATTATTATATGAGCGACGAAAAAGAGAATATTTCTCCGATATGCAGGCTGGCAGCCCCTGCTCGGATTTTCTGAATTTCGGTAATCGCCTTGCCGGTAAGGACTTGTCGCCCGATGGCCACATCGATAGAAGTCAAAAGGATGATCACGGGGACAGTTTTACATCCGGAGAAATGTTGGATCTGGATTGACGAAGCGCGATAGTAGACGAAGTGGACTCTTATAGGAGTTATTCGTTGTTTTGTGTCACTATTCGTCTGGAAATGTTCCAGTGGAATTCGTGCGTTGCTTCGATTCTATTCGGTGCGTACAGAGAAGTGGAAGGTGATACACGAATGAAAATAATTAAATTATGCAATGAAAAAGCAGGTGCGTCTTTTTGGCATTTTTATAGTTTTTCGTTCTATAAAAGATTGCACTAATTTAAATCTACTATAAATCAAATTTTTATTTACGCATTTTTTTTGCAAATTTTATCGTTAAACAATAAGTGACATTACGTGGAAATTGTGCTATCCAATATTTTTGAGAACATACAATTGACTTGTGACTAACAGTTGAATGAAATATCTATCAAAAAATATGAATATTACATTTTTTAATAAATTGCAAATATATATCTTATGAAATATGCTTGTAAATCGAAATAACTAATATCTCAGATATTCAATTTCATTGATTTTTATATATGATTCTTGAATTACGCCATATTACTTTCGAGTTTTCTACATTGATTTATGTAATACGATTGTATAAATCTCTAGTATTTTATATTCAGATTTGAATGTTAAAAAATAAAGTGTATAAATAGAAGTCCCTTTTCCCGAGCTTGCCTTTTATTCGACAAAAACAAAGGATGGTTATATCCGTTAGCATGGGGGAGAAAAATCATCCCAGCATTGCTGTTTTTAATAAATACGTGGGATAGAGAGATACGAAAGACTGCGGTATCCCGATACGAAGGTTATTTAGATTTATTCGCGAATTCTTGACTCGGCAATATTTTCTCCGCGTACACGTGCCAATACCAATAGGTGGAGTGGTTAATACTGTCTGCCCTGGCATCCATCCTTGCTACTTGATAGTCAGCTCCCATTCGGAACCGCACCGTCTTATATAGTAACCCGTACAAGCAACCTGATTTCCGTAATTTGTAGAATTTAAAATTAACATGAAAAACAAATCAATTAGTGATTTATTGACAATAGACTCTTGTGCGCAAAATTGTTCATAGATATAATTAATATATTTTAATAGCGATATACTATGTAATTAAAAAAATAATATTTGATTGTATCTCTGAATAATCGCCAAATTTTAGTCTTTTTTTTTATGTCACATTTCGTCGTGTGAAAATGTATGGTAAATTTATAAATCTACAAGAGCAGTAATATTGGTATTGGTACGTAAGCCTCGGTATATCTATCGAGTGATATCTTATGGTCGGACTTAGCATTTATCTTCACTACTTGATAGTCAGCTCGTAGAAACCTCTCTACATTTAGATAACGCACGAAAGACTAGTAATATAATATCTCGGGGAAGGCACAAGATCGAAACAAGCGTGATAAATTATGAAAGAAGTAATATTGCCTTTTCGTGTATCGATAAAGCAATGTAGCGTTTTCTGATGTAAAATGTTCGGCATTTTTTCTTTCGACGCGATCTCTTTGGTCAAGTTGAAATCGTTTTCTCCCTGAAAGATTTTATAGAATATTATTATCCATCATGGGGTAATATTGATCGACTATTATTATTGTTATATGATATGAGAGTGATTATTCATTTTCCATTCCAGGTATTTTTACTGAAACTCGATAAAAGGGACGTTATAAACTTAAATCAATTTTCTTCGTAAAATCTTTCTTCGTAAAATAGATAAAATTGGTGGGAGTAGCAAATTAATAAAATTCTGACGCAAATCCGACGGCGACACACTGCTGCTTACGAACGCGACGTCAAACGTGTCGGAAAATTTACTTTCCTCCCGCAAAGCCGGCAACCCGTCGTCGTCGCAGCTCGCAAATACGCAAAAATTAAGTTGTAAAAGTCGCTCCGAATCGCTCGCGCTTTCCAGCCACGTCTGCCGCGAGGTAGAGCGAATCCCACGGAAATTCCATTCGTTCTTTCCTTTCCTCCTTCCCCCATCGTGTCGTCTCCTCCCGTCATTCTCAGGTCCTCCCTCTCGGGAGGGAATTCGCGCCTCTTCTCGGCTGCTTTTGCATCGAATTATTTAAAAATGCACCCGACGTACCGAGAAACATCTACTTAACTCGAAGGCACATCCCGCGAGGGGATGTTTCTAACGCGCCGGGAGTACCGTGAGAACAATGGCGTTAACAACGACTCGCTGTCGTTCGACGACACCTCACAAAAGACGAGGAATTCCGAAGAAATCCCGAAAAGCCGACTGGAATGTTTACAACTGTTCTTAATCGATGCTTCCTACGCCGGAGGATTTTCGTCTTTTGAGATCCGCGACGTTACTTTCGTAATATATCGACTTCTTCATACTTCCTCAGCAACGTGTAAAATTCTATTTTCCGGAAAAACGTATTCTAAGCGCGTGCGCGCGCGCGATTTATTATCGGATAATCATTTCCAATAAATCCATTTAGGGGTAACGATTTATCGGGCAAAAAGAGAGATCGGCGGGGCAGCGTCGCTGAGGGATAATTGAATTTGGCTCGGTGGGCTAATCGCGTTTTCGTAAAAGAACCGGGCGATGGGAACGGCCCGGAGGATGAGCATTCTTCTGTTTGCTTTATAACGTAATTGCGGCGAGAAAGTATTCTCGCGTTAGATCACTCGGCGCATTATGGCGCCGCGGCAAAGCCCTGTATAAGCGCCCGTCCTTTTCCACCGACGCGAGATTTCTCCCGTGGGTATAACTTTGGTGAGCGAAACGGCCCCGCGGATTATCTGAGGAAGTGCGAAGAGGCTTTTAACTCGGAATAATTTATTTAAAAGCCGAGGCCGAGGGGGAAGCTGGCCGCGAAAGGGGAATCTCCGAAGAAGCAGCCTTAATTAGCACGGACTTTCTTACCGCTGGCAGATTTCGCCTTGATTTTCGCAGATGAAAACCGAGCGATCCGCCCCTCCTTCTTCCCCGCGCCTTTTTCCCTTCACCAACCTTTCCTCCCTTTTTTCCTTCCTCCCTTTTTTCCTTCCTTCGCCTACCTCCTCGTATTTCTATCGATACCGTGCGTGCCTCGTTCCACTCAAACGCGTTTGACAATTCGCGACGGAAGAAAAGTCCACGTGTTGATTAAATCCCACAAGATTAAGATTGGCGATGCTCAGTCGAACGCGAGATTTAATGTACGGCAGACAAAGTCGAGGTGTAAGTGTAATATGATTTCACTCGATTCCCCGCGAACTTTTTAACGTAAAAAAAAAAAAAAAAAAAAAAAAAAAAAACTAATT